GTAGGAAACTATCTATATATATATATATATATATATATTCTTAGAAAAAAGATAAAGTATCTTAAATAACAATTCCAAAATTTAATTTCTCTATAAAATATTCCATTAAATAACAATTTCATTCTCTGCAATGATATTCATGTTCATTTAAAAAATTAAATAATATAATACCACTATGAGATCAATTCAAAATGATGATGATGGATATATTTATTTTATTCATTTATGATGGTTTTTGGAATCAAAGATATTTTCCTTGATTTTGTATTTAACAAGTTCTGTTGTTATCTTTGCGTGTAGGTGATGCAAAAATCAGTCTAAGTCATTCATATATTTCAAAAACATTGTCTATGATTCCAAAAATATTTTAGCACACATATAAATTTTAAAATTATTTAGCCTTGTTAAAATTTTGTATCAATACACACATACAATTATTTATATACAAAAGAATCAAAGCTATATGATTAATTGGTATTATATTTATAATATCTGTCAAATTTTGGATGAATCTCTAGTGAAGACAAACATTGTGTAGATTTTTTCATGTAAAAAACACCAAATTATTAATAATTAATTTTAATTACACATTATATTATTTTAGCATACATCTAAATTTTAAAACATACTTTTAGAACATACTTTTAAAATATAATTTCAATTTTTTGGTAATATTTTGTATAAAAAAATCGAATTAATAGATTAAAAACTAATAAGTGCATTTCTATTTTACTTGATGTTAGTATCAAATTATCAAAAGTATAACTCATTTCATTGTCTTTAAATTATTATTTTTTGCAAAAATATCTTGATTTTAAATGATGTAATATTTTATTGTTTTAATTATTGAACTGTAGGCGTAAATTCTAATTAATTTAAATTTAATTACTTTTTAAAAATTAAAATTTCAATTTCAATTTTATTTTTTTATATTTTATTTTAAAAACACTACTGTATTTTAGTAGTTTTATACTCTCTTTTTCAACTGTAAATAAATTTTACAACATTTTCACAAAACAAGTTAATATCAAATCAGAGGTTTATTATCCACAAACTCAAAGACTACACATTAAAAACGTATTAAAAATTATGATCTATGCTTCTCTTTTTAAGACAAAACATCATTATTTATTTATTTTATTAACCTTTAAAAGAATATATTGCATGACTTTGAAATAAACTATTACTTGTAATGAAACAAATGAAGACATGTAAACTATATAGGCCAAGGTAATAAAAGACATGCTAAGCATATTAAGCAAACGACACACCATTACATAACAAAAAGAAACAAAACAAACTTGTGTGCTACTAGCTTAACATGGTACAAATGATAATAAATATAATAAAAATAGTATTGATAATAGTATATTATATGTGGATGAGAGTGATGGGTTTGCTTGTATTGGATTGTGTAAGGGGGGTTCAAGACTTCCACCTTCATTTTGACTCTCAACCTAATCCAAACCCTACAAGGGGGCACCAACTTCAAAAAAAGTAAAGGCTAAATCACAATAGTAGGAATAATAAAATATGAACAGGAATAATAATAAGAATAGTAATAATAACACACACACACTAATTACCATACTAACTATTTGCATGGATTTATTCCACCTTATGATGACGTCGACCTAAATGCTTGCAGTTAAACTCACACCGTCGACATCATATCCCATATTAAGCATCCTACACGTTTCACATACTCATTGGAGTGAATCTCTGGCCAGCCTGGACTTGAACGGGAGGCAAGGGATGGACAGAATCATGGATGAGAACGGAAGCAACGGATGGGTGGATGGATGAGAGAAACCCTTTGGTATTTGGTTTCTATACCGCAGCACACAGTTTGGAACAGACCCACTTTCAAGAAAGACAGCAACTGAGAAGGAAAAGACAAAAAGGGGAAAGACGGAAAGGAAATAGGAAGGAATCTCGGGGAAGAAAAAGACAAGCCAAGCATCTGCATCCTTGCATGGATGGATGGACTGACCGATGGATGACACGGACGGGAAGACGAATGATATATTTGTCTGTCCGTTTATGTGTTCGTTCGTCCGTTCATGGAGTCATTCATTCATCCATGGTCCTTAAGTTTCAGTGGATGAAGAGGGGGTCCACTTCACAAAGGGGGAATATTCCCCCAGCTCGGCCTAGCCCAGCCCAGCCCCCCGCTGAACCGGGTCCATGTCCTGGGCCAAATACACGTCCCATGTACCTTCTCTTGTTCTCATCTGCGAACGGCACCCAAAACCCCGCACGGGAGTAGGGGTGGCGGCTTTTCCGGGTAGTCCACTTTTCACTCAGGTCCCGACTTTTACTTTTTAAAAGGAGTTTTTTGGAGTGTAGTTCTTGTTTTTATGTGTAATTTTAGGGTTTTGTTTTGTTTTGTTTTTTTTGTTTTGTTTTTGTTTTTGTTTTTGTTTGTTTTTTTTTTTTGAAAGGTTTCGGTCAGTGTGTTATGTTAAAACATGTGTTATTTATTTATTTATTTGTTTGTTTAATACTTTTTTCCAAAGATGAGAATGTCAATTATGCAAAGGAAAATGAGGTTTGCATGAAGCACGTGACATTGGAATAGACACAGGTCATGATTGGCCAGGATGCGTTTTTAATATGTTGTTAATGGATGTATTATAATCATGCAAAATTTAAAATGTTATATTGGTGATATCAAGTATTTAAAGTAATGAATTGCAGTGATTATTCATAATATGTTATATTGACTATTTATTAATGTTTTTTAATTTTTTAATTTTTTATTATTGAAAAAAAAGGCTTTGAAAATTTTATAGTAACCTGGAGCTTTTTAAGAGATTCTAAACATGAATTGCATTATATGTTTCATATTATACATCAATTTGATGATATTATACATCAATTTGTGTACATGCACCAATTAGATATTGATCTTTCAAAGACTTGTATATTGTTTAACATTCAAATACCAACATTTATGGGTTATATATATACACACACACACACACTCTTACATAAAATTGTTACAAATTTCTTCAAATAGACATCTTTGATGTCTTTTTGAAAAATCATTACCATCAAATTTTATTGCATTACTTTAAAACCAATAGTTTGTAAGATACTTGGCAGAATAATTTAAAGTTATTTATTTATTTTTATTTTTTTATTTTTATTTTTTTATCAATTTTAATTGCAAAGAGTTCAAAATTTTCATAACACATATAATTTTATTTTGTAAAGTCAATCTATTTTATATTTAATCAATAAATAGCATCTCAATCTCAATTATTTTATCCTTTCAAAATATTAGGGATTTAATTGGAAGTAGTTTAAACATAAATCAAAATCATATGTTCTAAAAATACAAAGATGTATTTTTGTATCTGAAGTCTCTGTAATCAAATTTTGTATTAATAGACTATAAATATTCAGAAACATTACGATATTATTGTATTTTTGGGTATTATTATCTTTAATGCAATGAAATATTTTATTCTTAAAACTTTCACTATTTATATGCGCAAATTGTAGAATAAGTATTATTCTCATCAATTTTTGTCATGGAATCCTGAAATGCATGATACATGTACATCTTGAACATCAATCATCCAAAAAAGTCGAGTGGTATTTATTGTGTGTCATTTTGTAATTAAAGCTTCATGTTTTTTCTATAATTTTTATTTTTTTGTAGGGAATAAAAGAAAAAAGGAACCAAATCAAATAAATCCTTTCAAAATATTGATCCTACAAGGATTACATGTACATATCAGATTCACAAATATTTTATCATTTAATTCCTTTATATGCTTTTCTATATATGCATTCATGTATATAAAATTAATTTTCACGATGTTTTTGTATTTTACTGAAAAGAGAGTTTATTCTCTATAATAAAGAAATCATTTTCACGAATGATAAAAAATTAAATTCCTTTATATGCTATTCTATATATGCACTCATGTACAAACTAAATTAAAATAAAAAGAAACTGTTTAACTTTGTGTTGGGTAGAAAGTAAAGTATTTTTCCACCGTCGGTAACTTTCTAAATTTCTACTTGAAACATTTAGATTGTTCAATAAGTTGATTCACCCATAGAAGAAATATCAATTGAAATCTATGAAAATATATGATAATACATAAATATTTTATCATTTAATTCTATAAATTAGAATTGTATGAGATAAGGTTTTTCGATGTCTACAGAAACATGAGAAAGTCAAAATCTTACTAGTTTTATCATAAAAGTTGGTGGTATAAAGAGAATCAATAAAATTAAGGTAAGCTTGAAATTAATTAGTTTCTGAATTGGTTACGTAGTTGCCTTGCAAGTTGCATGATTCTCACAAGGGATTCTGACCAAGATTTAAAAAAACCCCCTAAAAAAATTAAAAACTCTACAAGATGACGAGGCCCCTGTGGGGATCGTTCTCGCATCACTGCTCCCTAACCTCAATGTCCTGACCGCAAGACTATAGGGCCACGCAGACAGTAAGGCTTCAAACATTAGAATTAACCAGTATCAATTAAGACAGTTTGATAGTTGAAACCAAGGAAGTAGGGTTGAGGTGTGGTCAGTTAATAAAGGGGAGCATCGTTAACCCAACCTTGTTAGGGCTTCCCAGTGGCTTTGTGCCTGACCACAGAATGCTGGCTGTGTGACATTATTTTTCTGGTTTTGGTTTTGTTTTGTTTTGTTTTTTTTTTTCAGATTCGATTTTTGGCATTTATCTGAGTAGTGAGAATTTGTACTCTCAACCCAAAGACCCCGCTGCTGAACGAGTTGATGTTTCTGCTGAAAGTTAACACATCTGACGTGCTTAGGCTGGCTGGTTTCCTGTATCCATGTTGTGGACCATCTCTTGTGTATATTCGGTGTCGAGTGTGCAACTTCCCTTTTCTGCTTCATTATTCTTTCTAGTTCACGTATTTTGTCCGTTGCTTTAACTGTTTCCATGATGAGGCTTCGAAGTAAAACAATAACCATGCTGATTATTGCACTTCGGTGCCAAGTCGGCAGAACCTGAACATGACGTATCAGGTGCTTTTATCATCGACAGATGCAACAAAAATGCGTTGTGTGTCACTCAGTGGCATTGAAATATAGTAATGAGACATACAAGGTGTATGAACTTGCCTCGTGCTCTAATATCTACGCAATGAACTGAAGACATCATGATGTTCCTCCAACTATGATTACTTTCCTAGGTACTTCTACTACTCCTCAAGAGCTCTCATAAAGAAGTGAAGAGTTACATTGAGTGCCGTGTATTCATAACCCATGTGTCACATTAACAAAAGCATCAACTATCACACGACTGTAAGAGATGCAGGGAGATCAGCTCGACAATTCCACCAAGAGAAAGAAATAAATTCAATCAAGAATCAGGAATTGGGCATGTAACGAATAGGTTGTATGTGTAATTGTTTTCTTGGTTATAGCTGAATCCCTCTATTGCTGGAGACCATAGCTATTAACTCACAATCAGGAGCATCAAGCTTGTGATTCCTTGCTTGAGCTCTTAATTAAATCTTGAGGTAAAATTTTCAAGTCCATATTGTTGGGGAGGATTCTTCTGCGCCTAAACAAAACAATTAATAGAATTAGTCAAGTGCAGCCCCAAATTTACTCCAACAAAACTCTTCTTCTGAATACATGACGTGATAAATTATATCAATAGTGGAGTGATTAGGTTCTTGACATGCAGTGAATGCTTTACAAACAATCGGTTGTCACCGCGCAGTACCTCATGGGCACTACAGGGCTCGTCGACTGCGGTTCTTTGATTTTAAAGCATTGCCGGCTCTAAGGATCTTTCGCTGCTTTCTATTGGGTGAATCATACTCTAATTCATTCCATAATGAATCAGGATTTCCCCCACGTTCAGTCTTCCTGAGTTTCAATCTCCTGCAGAAGAAAAAATATATCTCATTATTGGAAGAAAAATATGAGGGAAAGAAAAAGGAGAAAAACACAGAGGTAAGTCGCAAAGCTTTCGATGTTTATGACAAGTTAAAAATAGAATGTTCAGCAAAAGTGACTTTGGCACGTAGAACCAGACATAGCTGAGAGCCTCACCAGTTCATTCGATCCCCTTGCTCGATGAAGAGTGAGTGAAGTCCGCAGCATGTGCAGAAGTGCCAAACAAGGAGAACAGATCTTCTTGACAATGCCCTAAACTCGGCAGGGCATTCACCTGATCATACAACACAACATTAATTAATCTTCTCGTGACATTGAAGGGACACACAGTAGCCGGTCCAGCAGTGAATATTCCACACTGTTTCAAAGTCTACTGCAATAAGACGGGGGCTGCCACCGGTAAAAGCACCTCACCAATCCAGCCAGCAACCTCCTCTAGACCGGCAACCACAGCAGAGAGACAAACTGACAGCACTTCCTTAGAGCAGTAAATCACCTGTTCAACAGAAACGCCAACGACATTGACAATCGAAAATCTTAAAGAACCTAACAAGTTCGTGAAAACGACAAGATCAAATAAAAGGCAGCAGCAGCAGCAGCAGAAGAAGAAGAAGAAATGAAATCGGCAATCAGCCACTTTCCAACAGAGTAACAGTAGTATAGTTCAACAGAGGCTCGCCATGAAAATGTTCGAGCACAATCATACACAGTAACCGAAATCATTACCAGCATATCACTCCCGATCAAACGCCGAAATCCAGGCGCAGCGAGATCGTCCCAATCGCCGGCATCGAGACACTCTTGGTCCAAGCTTGGTGTCGCCGAGACGGCCAAGAGCGAGAGCAGCCTTAGGCCCCCCTTGGTCCAGTCAGTCAGTCCCAAGGCAGGCAGGAACTCCACTGAGAATGCTTGGATTCCATTGCAAATGCATGCTGCCATTTGCTAATGGCCTCGAATAAACATGAATGAATGTGAGGAAGGGAGTGAGCAGAGTCACTGCTACTGCATGCTGCCATAGCGAATGGCCTCTGATTAACATGAATGAATGTGAAGAAGGGAGTGAGTGAGCATCACTACTATTGCATGCTTCCATTGCGAATAATTTCAGATAAATAAGAATGAATGTGAGGAAGGGAATGAGCGAGGGTCACTGCTACTGCATGCTATCATCACGAATGGCCTTAGATAAACATGAATAAATGTGAAGAAGGGAGTGATCAAGCCTCAGATAAACATAAATAAATGTGAAGAAGGGAGTGAGCGAGCATCACTGCAATTGCATGCTTCCATTGCGAATGGTTTCGGATGAATAAGAATGAATGTGAGGAAGGGAGTGAGCGAGCGTCACTCCTACTGCATGCTGCCATTGCAAATGGCCTCAGATAAACATGAATGAATGTGAAGAAGGGAGTGAGCGAGCATCACTGCAATTGCATGCTTCCATCGCAAATAATTTCGTATAAATAAGAATGAATGTGAGGAAGGGAGTGAACGAGCGTCACTGTGATTGCATGCTTTCATTGTGAATGGTTTCAGATAAATAAGAATGAATGTGAAGAAGGGAGTGAGCAAGCGTCATTGCTACTGTATGATGCCATTGCAAATGGCCTCGAATAAACATGAATGAATGTGAAAAAGAGAGTGAGCTAGCATCACTGCAATTGCATGCTTCCATCGCAAGTAGTTTTGGATAAACAAGAATGAATGTGAAGAAGGAAGTGAACGAGCATCACTGCTATTGCATATTGCAATCGTGAATGGCCTCGAATAAACATGAATGAATGTGAAGAAAGAAGTGAGCGAACATCACTACGATTGCATGCTTTCATCACGAATGGTTTCAGATAAATAAGAATGAATGTAAAGAAGGGAGTGAGCGAGCGTCACTCCTACTACATACTACCATCACGAATGGCCTCAGATAAACATGAATGAATGTGTAGAAGGGAGTAAGCGAGCGTCACTGCGATTGCATGCTTCCATTGCGAATGGTTTCGGATAAATAAGAATGAATGTGAGGAAGGGAGTGAGCAAGAGTCATTGCTACTGCATACTGCCATCGCAAATGGCCTCGGAAAAACATAAATGAATGTGAAGAAGGGAGTGAGCGAGCATCACTGCCATTGCATGCTTCTATCGCAAATGGTTTTCGATAAATAAGAATGAATGTGAGGAAGGGAGTGAGCAAGCATCATTGCTACTACATGTTGCCATCGCAAATGGCCTCAGATAAACATGAATGAATGTGAAGAAGAGAGTGAGTAAGCATCACCACGATTGCATGCTTCTATCGCAAAGAGTTTCGGATAAATAAGAATGAATGTGAGGAAGGGAGTGAGCGAGCATCACTACTACTACATGCTGCCATCGCAAATGGCCTTGAATAAACCTGAATGAATGTAAAGAAGAGAATGAGCGAGCATCACTACAATTACATGCTTCCATCGCGAATAGTTTTGGATAAATAAGAATGAATGTGAGGAAGGGAGTTAGCGAGCGTCACTGCTACTGCATGCTGCCATCACAAATGGCCTCGGATAAACATGAATGAATGAGAAGGAGGGAGTAAGCAAGCGTCACTGCCACTACATGCTCGCATCACGAATGGACTGGAATAAACATGAATGGATGTGAAGAAGGCAGTGAGCGAGCGTCACTACAATTGCATGCTTCGATTGTGAATCGTTTGGAATAAAGAAGAATGAATGTGAGGAAGGGTGAGTGAGCGTCACTGCTACTACATGGTGCCATTGCAAATGGCCTCGAATAAACATGTATGAATGTAAAGAAGGGAGTGACTGAGCATCACTTTGATTGCATGCTTCCATCACAAATAATTTTAGATAAATAAGAATGAATGTGAGGAAGGGAGTGAGCGAGCGTCACTGCTACTGCATGTTGCCATCACGAATGGCCTCGGATAAACATGAATGAATGTGAAGAAGGGAGTGAGCAAGCATCACCACGATTGCATGCTTCCATCATGAATGATTTTGGAGAAATAAGAATGAATGTGAAGAAGGGAGTGAGCGAGCGTCACTGCTACTGCATGTTGCCATCACGAATGGCCTCAAATAAACATGAATGAATGTTAAGAAGAGAGTCTACGAGCATCATTGTGATTGCATGCTTCCATCGTGAATAGTTTTGGATAAATAAGAATGAGTGTGAAGAAGAGAGTGAGCGAGCGTTACTGCCACTGCATGTTGGCATCATGAATGGCCTTGGATAAACATGAATGAATGTGAAGAAGGGAGTGAGCAAGCATCACCATGATTGCATGCTTCCATCACGAATAGTTTCGGATAAATAAGAATGAATGTGAGGAAGGAAATGAACGAGCGTCACTACTATTGCATGCTGCCATCGCGAATTGTCGTGAATAAATCTGAATAAATATGAAGAAGAGAGTGAGCGAGCATCACTACAATTGCATGCTTCTATTACAAATAGTATTGGATAAATAAGAATGAATGTGAGGAAGGGAGTTAGCGAGCGTCACTGCTACTGCATGCTGCCATCGCAAATGGTCTCGGATAAACATGAATGAATGTGAAGAAGGGAGTAAGCAAGCATCACTGCCGCTACATGCTGGCATCACGAATGGACTGGGATAAACATGAATGGATGTGAAGAAGGCAATGAGCGAGCGTCACTACAATTACATGCTTCGATTACAAATCGTTTGGAATAAATAAGAATGAATGTGAGGAAGGGAGTGAGTGAGTGTCATTGCTACTACATGGTGCCATCGCGAATGGCCTCGAATAAACATGTATGAATGTAAAGAAGGGAGTGACTGAGCATCACTTTGATTGCATGCTTCCATCACAAATAATTTTAGATAAATAAGAATGAATGTGAGGAAGGGAGTGAGCGAACGTCACTCCTACTGCATGTTGCCATCATGAATGGCCTCGGATTAACATGAATGAATGTGAAGAAGGGAGTGAGCAAGCATCACCACGATTGCATGCTTCCATCATGAATGATTTTGGAGAAATAAGAATGAATGTGAAGAAGGGAGTGAGCGAGCGTCACTGCTACTGCATGTTGCCATCACGAATGGCCTCAAATAAACATGAATGAATGTTAAGAAGAGAGTCTACGAGCATCATTGTGATTGCATGCTTCCATCGTGAATAGTTTTGGATAAATAAGAATGAGTGTGAAGAAGAGAGTGAGCGAGCGTTACTGCCACTGCATGTTGGCATCATGAATGGCCTTGGATAAACATGAATGAATGTGAAGAAGGGAGTGAGCAAGCATCACCATGATTGCATGCTTCCATCACGAATAGTTTCGGATAAATAAGAATGAATGTGAGGAAGGAAATGAATGAGCGTCACTACTATTGCATGCTTCCATCGCGAATTGCCTTGAATAAATCTGAATAAATATGAAGAAGAGAGTGAGCGAGCATCTCTACAATTGCATGCTTCCATCGCAAATAGTTTTGGATAAATAAGAATGAATGTGAGGAAGGAAGTTAGCGAGCGTCACTGCTATTACATGCTGCCATCGCAAATGGTCTCGGATAAACATGAATGAATGTGAAGAAGGGAGTAAGCAAGCGTTAGTGCGACTACATGCTGGCATCACGAATGGATCGGGATAAACATGAATGGATGTCAAGAAGGCAATGAGCGAGAGTCACTACAATTACATGCTTCGATTGTAAATCGTTTTGAATAAATAAGAATGAATGTGAGGAAGGGAGTGAGCGAGCGTCACTGCTACTACATGGTGCCATCGCGAATGGCCTCGAATAAACATGTATGAATGTAAAGAAGGGAGTGACTGAGCATCACTTTGATTGCATGCTTCCATCACAAATAATTTTAGATAAATAAGAATGAATGTGAGGAAGGGAGTGAGCGAACGTCACTCCTACTGCATGTTGCCATCACGAATGGCCTCGGATTAACATGAATGAATGTGAAGAAGGGAGTGAGCAAGCATCACCACGATTGCATGCTTCCATCATGAATGATTTTGGAGAAATAAGAATGAATGTGAAGAAGGGAGTGAGCGAGCGTCACTGCTACTGCATGTTGCCATCACAAATGGCCTCAAATAAACATGAATGAATGTTAAGAAGAGAGTCTACGAGCATCATTGTGATTGCATGCTTCTATCGCAAATAGTTTTGGATAAATAAGAATGAGTGCAAAGAAGGGAGTGAGCAAGCGTCACTGCCACTGCATGTTGGCATCATGAATGGCCTCGGATAAACATGAAGGAATATAAAGAAAGGAGTGAGCGAGCATTACCATGATTGCATGCTTCCATCACGAATAGTTTCGGATAAATAAGAATGAATGTGAGGAAGGAAATGAATGAGCGTCACTACTATTGCATGCTTCCATCGTGAATTGCCTTGAATAAATCTGAATAAATATGAAGAAGAGAGTGAACGAGCATCACTACAATTGCATGCTTCCATCCCAAATAGTTTTGGATAAATAAGAATGAATGTGAGGAAGGAAGTTAGCGAGCGTCACTGCTACTACATGCTGCCATCGTAAATGGTCTCGGATAAACATGAATGAATGTGAAGAAGGGAGTAAGCAAGCGTCACTACGACTACATGCTGGCATCACGAATGGACCGAAATAAACATGAATGGATGTTAAGAAGGCAATGAGCGAGAGTCACTACAATTACATGCTTCGATTGCAAATCGTTTGGAATAAATAAGAATGAATGTGAGGAAGGGAGTAAGTGAGTGTCATTGCTACTACATGGTGCCATCGCGAATGGCCTCGAATAAACATGTATGAATGTAAAGAAGGGAGTGACTGAGCATCACTTTGATTGCATGCTTCCATCACAAATAATTTTAGATAAATAAGAATGAATGTGAGGAAGGGAGTGAGCGAACGTCACTCCTACTGCATGTTGCCATCATGAATGGCCTCGGATTAACATGAATGA